ACCGAACGGTATTGCGTGCGTTAAACGTGTACTATGACGAGCTGTCGTGTAGTAAACACGTACCGCGTGCATTCATGAAACTGAACGATGTGCGTGAAGTTATTTCCTAGTTCCTAGTTCCTAGTTCCTAGTTTCTAGGGAACTAGGAAATAACTTTACGCACATAACTGAATGTTGGTTAGCCCTATGAAAAACATTACCAGGCGCTAGGGGAGTGACTGCATGTCAAACAAGCACACGCACACACGCGCGCACGCACGGACGCAGGTACACGCACCCGCAGGCACTTGGAACGTCCCAATAAAATAAAAAAAGGTAAATAAACACGAAATGTATTTACTACCAAAGTCTTAATGTTTCTCTTCATTATTTCGCCTATAATCACCTGTAAATGCCGGTCAAATGCTCATCTGCAACACCACAAGTACACCGCACGCTAGCTGCTGCACACTGACACATAAATATATAGTCCAAATATAAATATAAAATATAATAATAATAATAAATTTATGTGACGTTCCAAGTGCCTGTGCACGCACCCGCACATTAGAGTAGTTGTCTTTCACCTTCATCAGAATAAAGGAATAAAAAACAAAAAGGAGCGTTGCATGCAACATTATCTAGAACTTTCCATTTCACATCCTCTCCTGTTCAAAACCTGCTATATCTGTCTCACGAAGCCGGAAACTTGCTAGATACAAGAACACTCACACACTCTCTCACACACGCAAACACACACACACACACACACACACACACACACACACACACACACACACACACACTTCGCGCGCGCGCGTGCAATGACCAGCTGGGCTACTGGCTGCTGCTTTGTGGAGAGGTGTGAGCGGAGTCTGACGCGCAGGCGCTCACCCGATGCTCAGCCGTCACCACACGTATTACCGTGACATATTATAGCCGACGCCATGAAGTGACGATGATTATTGTAAGCCATTGTACACGCGTGCATGGCGAGACTTTCCTATCGTCGTTGCCATGGCAACAGCGCGACGTGAGTAGAACACAACGGTGTCAACCGGGATGTACGTATCTGCCCTGCGCGCAGGTCATCACGCGTTATTACAGGCAGGCAGAGAGAGGCTAATGTATGCTAGAGATGCGCACGGTTTCAGCGTTGTAGACTGCTCCCCAGATCAGATTTTCATACCACTGATGTTGTAGTTGACGTTACATTTTCAATAATGTATTTCTTAGGTAGAACTAGTCATACATTAGGCCATATATATATATATATATATACTATATATAAAGTTATACGGACACGGTAGAAATTTTGACTCTGTGTTATTGCATACAGAAACTGTTTCGTGTGGAGCGAAAGCTCCACACTTATCAGCGCCTACAAGAGTATCTATTTAGAACATCCGAGCAGTATAAAAACATCATGCATAATGTCATCTATTGTTCATGCGTAAGCGTTCTAAAGAAATACCATAGATACTAATTAACGCGTCATTGTCGGTGACTGCTGCGCGCTAGCGCTAAACTGAATTCATTGCAAGAGTTTACATAACGTTCCATAAATATAACATAACATTATATAACATTAACATAACGTTACATAACGTTCATATCTAATATATATTTGAGTTCGTATGTATGTATGTATGTATGTATGTATGTATGTATGTATGTATGTATGTAGTAGATGTATGTATGTATGTATGATGTATGTATGTATGTATGTATGTATGTATGTATGTATGTATGTATGTATGTATGTATGTATGTATAGTATGTAATGTATGTATGTATGTATGTATGCATGCATGCATGTATGTATTGTATGTATGTGATGTATGTTATGTATGTATGTATGTAGTGTATGTATGTATGTATGTATGTATGTATGTAAGTATTATGTATGTATGGATGTAGTGTGATGTATGTATGTATGTATGTATGTATGTATGTATGTATGTATGTATGTATGTATGTATGTATGTATGTATGATGTAGTATGATGTATGTATTGTATGTATGTATGTATGTATGTATGTATGTATGTATGTAGTAATGTTATGTATGTATGTATGTATGTATGTATGTTATGGATGTATGTATGTATGTATGTATGTATGTATGTATGTATGTATGTATGTATGTATGTATGTATGTATGTATGTATGTATGTATGTATGTATGTATGTATGTATGTATGTATGCTTCCCTATAGGCGGCCAAACCGCCCAAGCGATCTGGATGCAATTTTCACAGGGCCATCTCTTATACCCGGGGAGTGTTCCTAGCTGAAAAAAACCTGCCAAACGTCAAACTCACCGAAAAACCCGTGAAAAAACCCCTCAATTCGTGAATCTTCACACAATGTCAGCACTGACTGTACAGTGCTGCCACACAGAGAAAAATCGATCACTCATTCCACAGCTGCTGGTATTGTGAAACCGAAACCGAGCACCGAGCTAAAACAGAGCACAGCCAGTTCAGAGGTTACGACTGCATTGGTTATCAACAGGCTTTGAAATGAGAAGCGCAACCCATTCGTACATGCTGTACGTGCCGTACGTGCCAATACGTGCATGCCGTACGTGGGAGGAGCTCAACAGTTCGAGACGCCGAGGAATCTTTACATATTTCCACAGAGAATAACACGAAAAACATTTTTATCAAGAGGTTTTCAAATGAAAAGTCCAACCATTCGTACATGCTGTTATAATAACTTTTTTGTCATTTACACCATATTACCTATTATGTTCCAGGGGTTCTAAGTTGGGTTGTGCTGTCATATAAATGTCATACATAACAGTTTTTCCCATGCTTATTATCTTATTAGACTGATTTCTAAATATTCATATTGTGTGCAATGTTATTGTCGATTTTTACCCAATGTTCCTATTGTGTCCCATTATTAGTAGTATGAATTAGTAGCACGATTTTACCCAGCGCAGCGGGTACCAGCAGCTAGTAATATATATATATATATCGCACTCTATTCGTTCTTCTAGTCTATCGTCACGTTCACGGTTCTTTCGACCATTTCCACGAGGCTATGATTTTCATTATATGACTTAGCTTCATGCATTTATGGCTATACAATGAAGTGACAGTGGCGCACGTCGCTATAGTGCGGTGGGTAATTCATCGTAGTCATGCAGGGATTACAAGCATCGTGAATAGTTATGACTGTCACATTATAGTCGTCACACAACGTATTATTATAAGCCCAGACCTGGTCTTCGTAGCATCGAAGATTCTGGATGTAATGGACAGCATCAACAAATTACGTGTCACCCAGGCATGTCGGTGTTATAAACCACGTTAGTAACCTTAGAGGTGGTTTAATATACGAAACTACTCACGCACGCGTACGTGCGTGTCTGCATGCCTGCGTGAGTGTGTCTGTGCGTGTGTGTGAATATAGAGTTGGTCAAATCAGCGCGAGGTTCCAGGAGACATAACCAAGCTTGCGGCTAATGAGAGATCTCTTCTACTCTTCTTTTTTTCTTATATTGCATATACTCGCCTTATGCCCGGCGAAGACGAGCAATATTTATCCGTGAATACTTGCGATAAAAATCACAGACCAAACGCTGTCACGTTTTACTAGCGCGTTGTTCCATGCGTACGTGCTTGCGTTGTAGTACGTAGCGTTGCATAGAAGCGCGACAGAAAGGCTAGACAGGACATATTGCTCTAACAGTGCTGAGTGGAACTTGCTCGAAAAGTGTGAGTCGCATTGGCGTTCGCGGGTTAGCGCAATATCAAACATGTTTGAACGCTAAAAATCCCAACGCAGTCGTAACGTAATTATGTGCGAGCAGATGCCTGCGTTTTCACCCCGTCTATACGATTTTCTGTCGGAACACGTGCGTCAATCACGTTATTTCACTCTTTTCCTTCCTTACTCACGCTTTTGAGTACTGTAAGAATCAATTGCGTCATCTGTTACTCGAGACTTGGGTATAGATTGGCAGACTGGTGCGCTCTCGCAGGCTTCACGCGGCAATGGCAAGCGGCGGTACGTGCATTAGTTTATTGGGTATGTCGCGCGCGTACCGCCTTAGAGCAGACATTTCCTTGGGAGTCATGCTCTGTCAACACCTTAATGGCCCTCTGCTGTGACTATGAAATGCGAGCGCGAACCCGAGCCGAGGCGAATTAGTCTAACTAGAGAAAGAGACGTGAATAAATGATATCATCAGGGAATTGCGAAATTCTGGGTAATTCCTCGTGTGTGCGCCGAGAATTGTGAGTGGGAGTTGTGATGCTGAGAGGGTGCAACAAGACAAACAACGCAGTCAATACCGCAGTAAAACGTGTGTTTATGTTGTGATGCATGCTTTGCTATTAAGCACTGTGTCATCATACATGCAAAACGTAGTAGAATCCTTCAACAACGATGTAGATGCGGTAGCAATGTTTAAAATAAATTTCCACAAACAGTTACAACAATTCATCTCTTTCATCTTCTAGAAATTTATTCCAAAACAGAATATATATATATATATATTTAGCATGTCGTTGTCACTACTGATCGGGAGTGCGCGAATAACAATGTCAGGTTATGTTGGTACATATATTGTACTGTGAAAATGGTTGTTGTTTCCTCTCCGGTATCGTAGCATCGTAGCGTGATACGTAATACCTAGATAATTGCAGCAAGGAGTAGAGATGATCCATCGTAGCAGATTGTTATTGAAGACTAATTTTATTAGTCACTCGAACACATACAAAATATATACATACGGCAACCTAGGTGAGTGACCGTGCCTAGGTCCCGTCGTCTTCGTTTTCGTCTATCTCTCTACATCGTCGTATCTCCTCTGGGTAATGACTCCGTAACTCGGTAACTCCGTAACTCTCTTCCGTCTTTCCGAGCGTCTATTTATACGCTTCTTAAAAGAGCCCGGACGCCTCACAATCCAAACCAGTTTCTCACCCGCTGCTTCTACTATTAGTGACATATTAACGCGCAATTGTCTGTAATCATTAGGGTGCGCGGTGGGGCTACGTATATTTACACGCAAGGTTAGAAGTATAGACACAAAGCCCTAATTAGCTCGCAGCCCTACAATACAACAATCCTTCCTTCCCTCTCGAAATAATTCGTGTCCCCTATTACCCGCATCCTCCACCAATTATTGTACTGTGAAAATGGTTGTTGTTTCCGCTCCGGCATCGTAGCATCGTAGCGTGATACGTAATACGTAGATGATTGCAACTCTCACGTAGATAATGACTCGGTAACTGTCTGTCCGAGCGTGTCTATTTATATGATTCCCAAAACCGCCCGGCGACATTTGAATCCGACCAGTTCTTCGTCATTATCGGCCGGACCTTGCGGGGCTAGGAGACGCGTGAGGCTACGCATATATATATAGTGCCGTACATCCCGCGTCATTACCAAAACAACAACGATCCCGGTTAAAAGCGCTCCTGGTTAATTACAACGCACAATGTCTCATACACACGCACGCGCGCGCGCGTACACACACACTCGCACATACTCACGCAGGCACACATGCACACACACACACACACACACACACACACACACACACACACACACACACACACACACACACACACACACACACACACACACACACACAC